AGGCGGCAGGTTTGGTGGCAGTGGTGCTCGGGCTGATGTAGAACCTTACACCTTTATATCGCGTTGGGCTCGGTGCCGCGTGATACCCGATTAAGAAGCTGGAGTGAAACAAAACCATCGTGGCACGTGATAAATGGTTTTAAAAACCAACTGTGCCACCAGTCTCTAAGAGCAAGACTTCAGGACAGACCTGGGTCTCATCCTGCAATGCAAAGCCATCTCTCACCCCAAGTTCACGGCTCTGGAGCGTGGCTGGAGCACGTGGATGTGCTGCCGGAGAGCTGCTGTGCTCGGCAGGACGGGGAGTGCTCCTGCCTGAAGTGTGGCACACCGTTCATTTTCAGATGAGCTACTATTTTTAAATATTTTATTATTTTTTATTTTTTTTTTTTTTAGCTGTGGATGACCCTAATTTTGGCTGAGTAGCTTAGAAATGCTAAGAATGCAAGGTTAGTTTAATCTTCTTAAAGTTTAAAAATCATCTGGGATTCTTCTGTTTGATAGTGCTGGAGGCGCTTATCTCCCTGTAGAAACCTTGTTTCTGTTTTGCAGCGTGTCGTGCAAAAACGGGTGCCAAATTTCAGCATGCTGCACTTTTCAGCTTCAGAAACTTTACAGCCGCTCGTGCTCGGCATGGTGAGGCGCGCGGGGGCTGCTCTGCGCCGTGCGGGGCAGGGGAACGGCGACGCTGGGCTGGCAGCATCCTTGCTGCTGTGCCGCAGGTCCAGGGCCAGGTGGGTCCCAAACCAAGTTTGTTGAGCTCCGTTGAGCAGCAGACCCTGCAGTCCTCGGCACAGGGAGGTTCGCAGCACAGTGCCGCGGGCCAGGAGCATTTGCCACTGGAAAATCCCGGCAGGATCTCCCTGCCATCAGCGCAGCGCTGTCTTTCTGTCCCCCCCCTTAAAAGGGATCATAAAACTCCCTGGAAGAGCTCGTTCCCAATGCCACTGATGAACCCGTCTCCTCCCGGCGCAGAGAGCAGTAAATGTCTGTATTAAGCTGTTGCTGATGTGTTAATGCTCCTCAGGTTCTTCCTAAAGATCATAGAATCATAGAATGGTTTAGGTTGGAAAGGACCTTGAAGATCATCGAGTTCCAACCCCCCTGCCGCAGAGAGGGACACCTCCCTGGTGGGGATGCCGCGGGGCTGGATGGCTCTGAAGTGCTTTGAAGAGCAGAACACGGGTAGCGATGGATTCCCGGATCCCGCACCGCTCCTGTCTCCCGTGGCAGCGTCCCCTCCGCAGGGTTTGTCCCTCAGCCCTGCTCCTCTCCTCTGCGGGAAAGAGCCCACG